CAACACCCGAACTGTCATATTGACAATTCCTTCCAAGGTGGAGAACTGGGCATATACCTTTCGAATTTGAACCCGCATACTTTCCACTTTCGTGGTGGCCAATCCCTTTATGACATCAAGGACACGAGTAAGACTGGACGGTCGCAATGAGATCCTAGGATTCTTACAATTAATGAATGAGCGAAAAAAGTAAAATAGTTACTATGCATCAGAATGATGTGCAAAGGGAGATAGCAATTAGTTATTTTAGGAACAAAAATGACAAACTAAAAGCCTAAAAATCAGTAGTTTGCCTATTTAATTGCATGCCTAACCTACCATTATATTGGCTTTACAATAATTTTTTTCAATAACTAGGTTAGGCCCGCAATTGAACAGGCCTACCCTCCGTGAAAACGCCGAAAAACAAATACTATTTGCTGCAATCGATGGAAACGTTTTAGCCAACATTACTACATTCCTCTTATACAAAAGAAGGAACCCAGACACAAGTGTAAGTGAGCAAGGGATATCTGTATGTCTCCAAACCCGCCACGTTTCCAGCCAGGGCTTCAATGACTTTGAGCCTGATTCGATTGATGATCTTAGAGCTCTGGTCCTATATTGGTGAACCAACATTGCATGATAGTGCCGTAGGCAAAGCGATAAAATTCGAATCGAGTTATTTTTCTGTTATTTTCTCCTAAAGCGGCTCTATGAACTAGTCCTCATGATTGAATTGAAATTTTTTCAATTGTCAGCCTACCCACACTTCCAAAGAAAAGTTGCAGGAGTCTCTCATACTATATTTAATATAGTTTTTAACAAATGCTTGAAATTTACTTACAAGTGCCAGTCTATGTAATCGGAAAACGGAAGAACGTAGTTAGGCACGAATATCACAGGAATAATAGTAGCCTGCAAGGCCCTTTGTAAAGCAAGCTTGAAATATGGCATTCCCTCGTGGATAAGAACAAATTTGGACGCCTGAAACGAGATTCCTGAATCAGACGATATAGCAAGGAAGAGTGTTGACAAACCTTGAGCGCGTTTTCCCATTGCACTACACTTCCAGCAACATCACATACCAGGGAGGGCTGATCATCACACTCATTGAGTATAGTTACAGCCTAAAATGAACGATCTCAACAGGATATGATTTCAGCGTGAGCATAATCGACGTCTTTGATTATGGCATGGACCAAGGCGGGTTGCCCGGCTAACGCCGGGCTTGCCTCCTTCTCATGGTGTCGCCCGACTTAGCCGGGCGCTTTTCCTTCCTATAAGAAATCTGCTATGCGTAAATAACACTTCGGATTCTCCTTTTTCTTTGAAAACTCTGCACCCTTAGTATTAGCTCCGAATTGGGAGCGATTTTTATGTATTGTAATTAATTATATATTAATTGGAAGTCTCGATTCAATGCACTTCATCTCGAAATTGTGTCACATTGATGGCTTAACTGTTTGCCAACCAATGCCTTGAATGGTACCCAGAAATGGATAATAACGCCTATCACAGATGTCGTTATCAACGGAACATTTTCTCCACGGTTTTTCCATTAATCGGGAATCCCAAATCATTAGCGGTCAGATGAGTTAATCACAAACGATATGTCATAAAACAAAAAGGAATCGTGGTACTTCATTGTGTCACAAAGCTTACTGCGTAACGGTCGTGGTTTAATAGCAAGAAATGAACAAAATTCTCATTTCTTTATGAAGAAATGTCTTTGTTCGGTTGCTATTACAGCATTTACAGCATTAATCGTCAGGGTTTGATCATAAATTTGCTCAATCTTTTGCTCTCTAAGGCCCCTTACCAGTTTTTATCAGTCGTTATCAGTTCCTGTCAGAGAGTACCTACGACAACGTCACATCCTACATTGCCGATTTTGTAAAGGTTCCATTGACACGAAGGGGATTGCAACGCTTGCTCGCTTGTAATTGCTGTCCCCATCACTAACAAACTTCGGTCCCTTCACATCCTGCACTATCTAGTGGAATGCTCAGTTGTCAGTATGAAAGACGTTGTAGACTCATTGGCTCTCGCTTCCTATCAGTTTCTATAAGTCTCTAACAGTTTTCCGAAGCGCCAAAGCTCTGCCGTTAACAGGAAGTAAGTAACGGTTAACGGAAGCGTCTTTCAAGGCTTTTTACCAACTCCTTTTAATTGTTCTCACCATTAGTGTTCCTACCCTGCTTCCTGTACTCCTACCAATTTTGAACGCTTTGTGTCCCCTGGAACAGGAGTTATGAATTTGCGACCTAAAATTTCCGACGCGCACGCCCCGCCCTCTGTGAGCGGATTCCGGTCCTGCCACCTGCCATAAGTGTTTCCATGCTGCCTTCTGCACTGCTACCAAATTTGAGCTTTCTAGGTCCACGGGAACAGGAGTTATGAATTTCCGGTCAAAAACACACACCGACACACATAAACACACCGACACACCAACAGCCACACTTAGCGAATTATATAAAGTAGAATGACTAGCGCTGAAGCTTTTTAAACATTACACAGCAACAGCAATATTAATAGGCTTACGCTGGTTTAGTAGTCCAAAATAGACACGCCAGGCTCAAAAGACTGTTATAAGCCGAAAGCCTTTAAGACCTAAGTCGCTTAACTAGGTAATTCAAGAGCATGAAGAACATCATAAATTCGAGAAACCAGTGTTAACCAGAATTTCACTGAAAGGACTAAGTGCCAAAGTTGAGGTGATTTTTGTGAAGGTTTGGCATGACATGAATGAGTTTTGCACTTTCTGGATGTTGAAAGACTTGACTACTGATCTCAAATAATTCAATACCCATTCAGGACCTTTCCGCTATTTCCACTGAGATTTTTGCCCAACATCATGCTTTTCTGCGCTTCAGTTTGAGCAAACTATGAATTTCAAAAGCAATCTTAACGAACTACTCTCAAGAAGCTGTTAAACAGAGGCAAAAGCTAGTTTTTCAGAGGTAGTATGCATTGTCCAGTCTTTCCTTTGGTTAATTTAGTTAATGGTAAATAATAAGTACTGGTCTAACTAAAGCCTATATTTACCTCATCGCGCGTGAAAGATCTCTAAGAAATTTAACATAACTCACATCTGAACGTGCAAAGGCTTCAAGGCTATCTTCTCGAAATGACGAAGATGCGTTGAACAACATCACCAGCAAGCTTTTGTGTGTTGATGAAGTGGGAAAATTAACAGCAGGGTGGTCACCGTAATACGGTGGTAGGGATATATCCAAGCGATGGCGGTATAGATGAAGAGGGATAATAGGGCTGAAAATATTGCATTTAAAATAGAATTAAAGTGGACCCTAAGAATGAATGAACTAAGATAGTCATAAAAACTCAGTAAGCAACACACTACACGAACCTGGCCAATATGTGGCGATAACTTTGATTCCACTGTCCAATTATAGTTAACATTAAAACATTGTAGAATCTGCAAAGATGGAAAGTTATGTAAATCTCTCCACTGCAACAACAGAAGCAATAATTTCTCCATAGATGCTGGAGTCCCTGGTTTGACGCACCTTTCATTGAGCATATTTGCCACAGCACAGGCAGCATCAATGCTAGGAAAACGGTGAAGATTGAGGAAATCGATCCCAGGGAAGAAAATACATGCTTGTTGATGATCCGAAACAGAATAAGGCAGCAGCATTGTTCGGATTGCATAAAACTCTTTTGATGGAACGGGTGTTAGGACGTTTCCGTTCTGCAAAATAAAGAATGTGCAAGGGACGGCGCAAGGCTTGCAGTCATCAGTGGAGGGGGAGGGGTTCTATCAAGATGGTAATTTGAAAAAGCCATGCATAGGAAAAAACAAAGACGCAGAAACCGTTTCAGAAAAGTGCAATAACCCAAAAGTCGGGGTTCGATTATCTCACGGTTCAAGATAAAATTCAATAAAACTACAACTACAAGT